GGCGAACCTTGTCATACCCTCTTTCTTCCAGTACTTAGGTGTTAATGTAAAATGACATGTTAAGAGCAAAAGCAGAGCCAGAGGTGTTGGTGCACAGCTGTAACCCTAGCACTCTGGGAGGTGAGGCTAGAGAACCATAAGCTCAAGTCAGCCTGAGCAACTTAGCAAGACCTTGTCTCAAACTTTTAAAAGGATTGGGTGCAGCTCAGCGCACAGGCCTATGTTTAGTCTCTAGTACCAAAAATTGTTTTTAAAAATAGCGAGACCTATATAACTCTCTAAATTGTGTTCTGTTAGTTGGTCTTTTTATTTATTTATTATCTGTTAGGTTTTTTTCTGTTCAGTAACTTTGAATCTTTAAAGTGTTAAAAAGATATTTAATCAAGAAATCTTTGTGCTACAGTGCTTTAGTCCATGAAAAAAAATAGATGAACTGAAAGGGCCCTAAGGCCAAGCTATATGATTTTGTGAATACAATTTTTTTAACTAAGTAGATCATTTGATTCTTATTTCCCCCAAAATGTCAGAGTAGAGAGTATTCTCCTGGTCTAACTTAGAGCCCACCCACCAAGTATAAGTCCTGGTCTACCACAGGCCAATTGAGGTTCTGACCCACACTGTAAATATCAGGCCACCATCATGAGAACAGCTACTGAACAACACTTAAGGAGTGTGTGAAGGGATCCACACTTTCATTCTTTGTTTGGAACTCTAGTTTTTCCTTTGTTGGAATTCACATGATTGTGTGTGTGTGTGTGTGTGTCTGTGTGTCTGTGTGTATGTGTGTGTGGTGCTGGGGATGGAACCTGAGGCCTTATGAATGCTAGGCAAGTGCTCTACCAATGAGCTACATCCTTGGCCCCCATGATTTTTATTAGACTAGATGTCATAGACTTTCTCCAAATGTATGTATGTATATTCCTATTTTAAGATTATTTTTATGCCAGTACATAAAGCACAGAAGCACAGGGCTGAAAGCACCAGTCAAATACACATAGTTAAACATAACCTTGATTAACAAATCTTGTTATTCATGGATGCCAGCTCGGTTAATAAGTGTTTGTGGCTTGGATACTGAACTGCAGGTTAATGGTGAGGTGGAAGCAATTGTAGAATCTAGATTTTTAAGACAAACACACATCACACCCCAGAAGGCATGCATGGAATCAGGTGTAGTCAGTCGGCTGTGGTGATGGCTTTGGTTGTTCTCCTTCACTGGTCCAGCTGTGAACAGCCTCCAGAGCTGGCACCTTCGCAAGTAGAGAGGACCGAGCCCTCTCCAAGGGCCTCAGGAGCCTCGGACAGCCGAGTAGCAGACTTGAAGTTTCTAAAAGTTAAAGTTGTATTTGACTTCTCTAAATTACATTTGAAGAGCACATAGGTTAATTTTGCAGTTAGAAAGAAGCATACATACAAATTTAACAAACATCTATAGCCATCTCAGTGCGGCTGTCAGATGCCAGCTGTGTGGGTTGAGTTTCCCTTCGTTCTCACGTGCCTTCCATGCACAATGAACACGAGGCGCGATTTGAAAATGGAATTGTTCATTTGCCAAGAAGGGATATTTTTATGTTGAAGAATCTGAAGCTCTGGTGCATTCCTTAACTGATTTGCTTTCCTCCCTGTGGGATGGGTGAAAAGCAGGAGCTTTTTCCATGTGAACGGGTAATCAGGTCAGGACTGAAAGTAAGTTAAGTGTCTGAGGAAGTGGATAAGTCAGTCACATCCTCAAAGGGCACTGAAGGAATGTGGGAGGACTCTGGCTTTTTCCTCCTGGATTCCTTGAGAGACAGAGAGAGAGAAGGCTGGGGTCTAAGATGTGTAACCTCACAAGGGCTTCGCGGTCGGCAGCCAGAGCTGGGTGGCGATCTCTTCACAGACTGTGGCCCGTGTGTCATGGGTCGTGTGGTCCCTCATGTGAACAGGAAGGTGAGCATCGTGAACTTTTGCCTCAGTTGTGCCATCCATCAGGGAATAAATGGAGCAAATCAACGTGTGCAGCTGCGCACGGAGGCGAGCGGCTGCATCCTCCTCACACAGGGGCCTTTGTCTCCGACATGATCTGGCATCGATGGGATGCACTCAGCCTGGGCTTTGTGGCAGATTACTAACCCATTATCACACCAGAACACAGGATCGTTTATCTTCTAATCCAGTGTCACCTGTTCTTCATTTACCAGTCAATAACCATTAATTATGCTCAGTGGAAAGTTAAACAAAGCCCCTTCCCTCTGTTAAAACCAGTAAACTATTCAGTAATAACAAATAAATCTGGAATTGTATATCCTTTCCCTTCCCATTCCCAGACTGCAGTCTGGTACAATATGAACTTTAGAGGAAATGCCTAGAAATTGATAGGTCAAAGGCCACAGATAGTCTGATGGAAAAGAAGCAGGCAGATTCTTGGCCCTGGCTTTCCTGCAAGTGAGAGGCTCTGACTGATCCTCAGATTTCTTCGGGGAACAAAACAAGACCAGGGAGCTGGGCCATGTGTAGAATGAGCCACCGCTGATGAGCAATCGTGTTTCCTCCTTTCATTTTTCTAAGCCCTTGTTTTCCTTCACATGATTAAACCAGGATTTTTCTGTGCCCTTTCTAGCACAAGAGTGTCCTTAAAGAAAGAAAATTCACTGAGTGGTCCCAAAAGACCTACTGGAAACATTTTTTTTAAAATAGAAAAGTGAGTGAAACACATTTAAGTGTATTTACCCTGTTACGTATAATCCCTCAGAAAAATGTTCAAACCGAAATTCTATCCAGAGCCATAATTTAATTTTTTCTGAAAATATTTTGACAAATGCCAAAACAAGTGTGTGTGTGTGTGTGTGTGTGCGCACATGTATATGTGTGCACGTGTAGGTGTGCACTGGGCTTGCTCAGCGAGCTACAGAGTTGTCTTGGTCGGGAAGGGTGGCCAAAGGGCAGCCAGAGCCTGGCGAAGTCACAGTGGCCTGCGCTGCTGGTCACAGGGAGACCCAGTGAGACAGTGCCAACTCATTCCAGGCCTGGACTTGGGACCCAGGTCCAGGATCTAGAAGGAAAGTTCAGCGTCCCCTGACAGATCACAAGAGAATGCATTCCAGGCTCAAGGACCTCCCGGGCGGGTAGGCGAAGACCTACGAAGAGGTCCTTGACCTCCATGCAGCCTGGTGCCCACACCCAGGAGCGCGTCCCTGTTCTGACTGTTGGTCCTCAGCTCTTCACAGTGTGTAACGGCTAGTAAGTGTGGACTCCCATCTGCGGTGTGCACTGTCCCTGTAAAGGGAATGCTTGCATTCGATGCCTCTTATAAACTGATCAAGCTTTATCAGTAGAAACAGTAGTACAGCTACATTCATCAAGTCTAATCTCTTAATGCAAAATGCAACTGCCGGTATTTCATGAAAGTGAACAAAACTGTCTCTCCATCAAGGCAGGTTCCTCTGCCAGTTACTTTACGGTGAGTCTGACTCAGAATGATGCCTTTGTCTCCACCAGTGGGGACATCTCAAGGCATGAGAAACTGCCTAACTGCCATCTTCCACAGAGCAAAAATATAATTTCAAGCAGGAAAGGTGCCCAAACTAACATCTTCCTTAAAACAAAAGCATGACTTCAAATAATTTCATAGCAGGCCAACAATATGAAAATATTCACAAGAAACAACTTAGGGTAAAAGGGAAATATACTTCATTTTTTAGAGAGTTGCCACAAATCCACAAAAATAAATAAATAAATAAATACATAAATAAATAAATAAATAGGGATTACGAATTTTGGTGGCATCTTCTAAGGGAAAATAAGCTGGTTTGTTGATTTCAGCAACCTGTTTTTAAGCTTCTCTAAAGCTAGCCAGGGAAACACCCACCACAATAGTGTTTGCTAAATGTGAGGACAAAGATTCAGTACATGTAACACTGGGACAGTGTCGCAGCAGAGTGCTTATTCTTTTTAGCTAGTTCATTTTGAGAAATGGGTGCCAGTGAAAGGGAAAACCATTTTTCACTTGGATCATTCTCTTTGTTTGGTTTTGGGTTTTTTCCTTTCCTTTCCCTTCTTTTTTCCTTTTTTGTCGTGCTGGGGATGGAACCCAGAGCTGCGTACGTGCTGAGCACATGCTCTGTGCTGCACCACTGAGCTACACCCCTGCCTTGGACTTGGGTCTTTCTCCAGGGAACAAGTTCCTCTCTTTACCAGCTACACTTAATTTTTTCAACTCTGCATCCTGAACCATATAAAATGCTTTGTAATTGACACCTAGTGCCATGCTATGGAAACTGTAGGCCTGTGAGCTTTTCTAACTTCGTAAAGACAGGCATGACTGGTGCCACCAGTCTGTTTTCAGAATGCTGCAGTACTTTTTGCCAGCCAGACTTCTGTTCCCACTGAGAACTGCAACTCAGTGAGAAGTCCGTCATGATCACCATAGAGAGGCTGAGTCCCTGGCCCTGACCTGGTGCCTTAGGAAACCCTTAACGCTGGTGCTAACATATTCACTGCCTCTCAGATAACCGTTTAGTTGTTTCTCTAGTGATGATCATTTATTTTCCTTTCCAACTGATAGATTTTCAACTTCATGTTTAAGAAATGAGTTTATACTTTTGAAGAGTTTAATGATTGAGTTTATAATCTCTGTTCAAATGATTTTTCCTTACTGCCATTGATGATGTGCATGAAAATTAGTCCTTTGGAATCATTCTTTCATGAACATACCCTAAAAAGCCTATTAGCCAAAGAGAGTTGTGGTGCAAGGACCTACTGCACATACATCCTCACCAGGGATGTAAAAGCTTCCTCCTGCGGAGTCCATACCTCTCCAGCTAGGGCCCAGGCATCTATACCGAGAGAGTCCCCAGGTGTTTGTGAAGCACATCAAAGTGTGAGAGGCATCACAGCAGGGTTGGAACATTGTATTAAACTCATGTTCAATTTTCTGGCTGTACCTGTCCATATCCGACTAGCTTTGCCTTCCCAAAGTGGCTGCTGAGTACAATGTCACATGGATCTGCCTCTCTCTCTAGGCTATGTGGCTGATGTTGCAGAATGATGAGCCAGAGGACTTTGTCATCGCTACTGGGGAAGTCCACAGTGTCCGTGAATTTGTGGAGAAATCATTTATGCACATTGGCAAAACCATCGTGTAAGTATGGCTGGGAGGTACTTGCTGCTCAGCTGCCAGACACTCCCTGGCAGGCACTCGTACCTGCTCCCTCCTCCTAGTCGGCACTACTTTCCTCTTCCCCTTTCCACTTTTGTAAAGCCGGCTCTGCATTCTGAATGACTGTCCAGCCCTGCTTACTTTAGGGATCAAATGTCTAAACCCAGTCTTTTCAAATTTTATTTATGTCTTATTTTAATGTCTTATTTAAAAATTTTATTTTTGTTTTTCCAGTCTTAAGTTTTTATCATGATATAAATGCTATCTTTTGCTTTTTATTACTGTCTATTTTACTGTGGCTAATTGTACTCTTACTAGCCCAATGCAATAACATTATCCAGTCTTTTGTACTACCTTCATTTTATATTTCTAAAAATTAAGACCATCACAAATTCACAGAAAAGTTTCAAATACATTACAGTCTTCTCTCTGAACCATTGAAAGTAAGTTATGGCCTGATGCCCCATCATCCTGAACCTGTGTGTGTATTTCCTACAAACAATGATGTTCTCCTGCATAAATGCAATACAACCATCAAACTCAGGAAATTCACAAAAATAAATTACTCCCATCTAATCCTCAGAGCCCATTTGGGCCGATGCAGTACTTTATACCAGATGACCCAGTTTATAATCATGCACTCCATTTACTTGTTGCATTACTCAGATTTTGAAGTCAGATTTTCATATTCTGATCAGAATATTTGAATGATTTGTGGACGGTACTTATACATGAAAGATTCTTCCCTTTTGATGAGTTTTTTTATGGAGGTACAATACAGATAATGTTAAATTTTCCATTTTAATTGTAAAGTATAGTTTAGTAGCATTAATTACATTCATATGTGCACCCATCACTTCTATCCATTTTCAGAACTTTTTCATCATCCTAAATAATAACTCCTCCTTCTTGTTCCCTCAGTAACCACTATTTGCTCTCTATATAAATTTACCTATTCTAGGAACCTCATATGAGTGGAGTCCTACAATATTTATCCTTTTGTGTCTGTCTATTTTGCTTACCACAATGTTTTCAAAATTCAGTCATGTTGCAGCAGTCATGTCTCTGTAAGACGAAGTGAAGTTCCATTGTGTGTATGCACCCCATTTTGTTGATCTCTTCATCCACTGATGAACACCTGCCTTGTTTTCACCTCTTGCTGTTGGGAATAATGCTGCCATGGACCCCAATTTAGAAATACCTGTTTGAGCCCCTGCTTCCAGTGTTTTGGAGTCTGGACCTAGAATTGGAATTTCTGGGTCATGTGGTAATTCTATGTTTAACTTTTTGAGGAACCACCAAACTATTTTCCAGAATTTGTTTTTATAACATAAGAAAAGACTTTTACTTTTAGCCATGATGAAATAAAAGAAAGTAGATTTAGCCCTTTGTCTTAAACAAAAAAAAGAAACTAGATAAAATATGAAACAATTGTTTTAGGCATTGAATGACTGGCAGTGGAAGTCACTCCAACATACATGATAATCAAAACTCTGAAACTAAGTGGTAATGAAAAAAATTCAAGAGCTCCTAGAGAAGAAAGATAATTATTTACAGAAGAATTAATAAAAAATCTTTTTGTCAGAAAATATGAAAGGCAGAAGGCAATAGATCTGCATCTTTAAACTGCTAACAGAAATCTTCAACTTAGAATTCTGTACCTAAAAATATATTTTTAAAAATATATGTGAATTAAAGAGTTTTCCCATGCAAACAAAAGCTGAGATGATGCATGGCAAACAAAAAAATATGTGGATCACAGCTAAAGCAATGCTTAAGGGGCAATTTAAGGTTTTAAATACCAATATTAAGAAAGAAGAGAGTTATTTGACCAGCAATCTAATTTCCCATGTTATGAAGCTAGGAAAGGAAGAGCAAATTAAATTCAAAGAAAACAGAAAGAAGGAATTAATCAAATAAAAATGGCCATCAACGAACTAAAGGACAGATAAAACACAAATTATAAATATGAGGAAAAAAAGTAGGAACATCACTATAGAACCTTCAAACACTAGCAAAATAATAACAGAATTAGTAAAATAATAAAGGGATATTATGAAGAATTTTTTGCCTGTCCATTTGTCAAATTAAAGGACATAGACATATTTTATGAAAGACAGGAATTGCCAAAACTGACTACAGAAAAACTTGAGATCTTAATCAAATCATTCATTCTATATCTGTTAAAGAAACTGAATTTCACTAGTGAATTCTAGCAAGTATTTAAGGGAGAAAACAATGATTTTGCTGTATATATTTAGAAGAGTGAATATTTCCCAACTTTTTAAATGGGGCCAGCATTACCCTGGTACTATATAGACTAGTATTCTATATAAATACAGAAACAAAAAAAAAATCACTTGCAAAATATAAGCAAGTTGAATCTATAAATGTACAAAAAGTTAATACACCATGACCAAGTGGGATTTATCTCAGGAATGCAAGGTTGGTTTAAGATTTGAAAATGACTTCAATTCACCACATTAAGAAAGCAAAAGAGATTAACACGGTGACATAAACCTGTGATCCCAGCTCCTTGGGAGACCGAGACAGAAGGATCACAAGTTGGAGGCCAGCCTGGGGTCCATAACTACCCTCTCCAAAAGAGCAGCTATGTATACCATACGAATGTAGCAATAAATGCAGAAAAAGCATTTAACAAAATTCAGCAACTATTCTAAAAAAAATTTTTAGAACTTTCAACAAACTTTACTAGGAAAGTAAATTTCTTGAAGCTGATAAATAGCATCAAAGAAAAATACACAATTATCATATTTAATGAGGCTAGACTGGGTCCTTTTCTCCAAAAATCACAGTCAAAACAAGGATTATCATTCTTTATCAACATTGTCCTGGAGATCTTGTCCAAAACTAACAGAGTAGAAGAAATTAAAAGAAAAAGTATATTTACCTTTCTCCACAGATAGATTGAGATCTGTGAACATAGAAAATCTAAATAATTTACAAAAGAGTAAGTAGAACTAGCAGAGGTATTTAACAGAGTCACAAAGTACAAAATCTGTACGTAATAATCAACTGTTATTTCTGTGCACTGCCAGTGAGCAAGTGGAAACTGAAATAAAAATTACCACTCACAATAGAGTCAGAAAAACTTGAAAATTGTCAGAGATGAATTTACTTGAAAAATGTGTGTACTAAAATCTAAAATACAAAGAAGAAACTTGAAATAAAGGGAGAAATAGACCATGTTTTTCGATTGGAGCACAGAATGTTGATGAGATTTTACTTTCCTTCACAGGTTTAGGGGAATCCCACTATAATCACAGGCTTTTTTTTTAATGGCTAATTATAAAATTTATTGGAAATGCAAATGATCCAGAGTCATTTTGAAACAGGTGAGAGCTGGAGAACACATTGCTGCATTTTGTGACTTCTATGAAGCATAAACCGTGTGGTATTGACATGGGTCATGTTTATAGATCAATGCAACAGAAGTAAACATTCTGGAAACAGACCCACACGTATATGACCAACTGAATTTCCACAAAAATGCCAGCATAACTCCATTGGCAAAGGCTAGTCATTCCAACAAGTGATGCTAAAACAGCAGATCATCATGGGGGGAAGCAGACATCTCATCTACAAACAAAAGTGAATTAACTCTGAATGTAAGAGCTAAAACTAAAAACCTGCTAGACCAAAAGAGGAATAAAGCTTTACACGTCTGGGCTAACAGACTTCTTAGGCTGCTTTGCTACTGGGATGGTGAGTTTTTATGTTCTGTACATAGCCTCCTGGTCTATGACTTACCTTTTCAGTTTCCTAACAGTGTGTTTCACATAACAAATATTTTACTTTTTTGTATGGTCCACTTGATCACTTTTATGGCTTTTTGTGTTGTGTGTATGCATTTTCATTGAATATATATGTCAATTTGGGAGAAAGACAAAAGTTTCTTAGGATACAGAAAGCAAGAACCATTTTTTAAATTGTAGGCTTGGGATGTAGCTCAGGGGTAGCTTGCCTAAGATGCATGAGGCCCTGGGTTCAATACCCAACACCTCAAAAAAGAATACTGATTAATTGAGTAGCACAATTTATAATCTCTGCTCTTGGAAAGGGACAATTAATAAAATGAAAAGTCAAGCCACAGTCTGGGAAAAAAAATAAGTGTGATTTGTATATCTGATAAATATATATATATATATATATATATGGGAGAGAGAGAATGTAAAAGAACTCCAATAATTTACAAGAAGATAACTCAATTAAAAATGAGTAAAATTCTGAACTATAACTTCATGCAAGAGCAAATAAAAATAGCCATTAAGCACTTCTGGAAAGTGTCTGAAACCTTGCCATTCTTCTTTCTTGGAGACAGTGTTCTGAATTCAGTCATCATGAGTCGTCATGATATCCTCTTATGCTATAGTCCTAAGGGCTTAAATGCTTATTTCATTTTTTAACCTCACAGTCTTCCCCAAACTTGTATGCTGTTCTAAAATAGGATGCCATGCCTAGCTTCTTTAGAAAATACTGCATACAACAAGCCCTCTTGGAGAACTACTGATCACCATAGCATGCTTAAAAATCTTCAGTAGAGGAAGTACTTCACTGTGTTGAACCTGGCCCTTTTCAGGCTTAAATTGTCCTTTTTTGTGCTGAGAATTGAGCTCAGGGCCTTGGATGTGGCAAGCATGTGCTTTACCACTGAGTTGCACCTAGCTTCTAGGAATATACTTCCTCTCAGTGACTGGCTGATGGATGGAAAATGTCAGGTGAGCCTTATGATCATCTACACCGTTCACTGTGGCCCTTGTGGGGTCGAGTCCCAGGGCCTGTCCTGTGGTATGTGGTGAGCAGCTCCACCAGGAGAGGAGCAAGGCCCTCCCCTGTTAGGTTGCTGGTAAGCAAGGAAGTGATACCCATGTGCTGATCATTGGTGTGAGCTCATGCCAGGAGTCACACACTTACACTGGTTAATTCCAGGCTGACGCACTGTCATACTGAGGAGCTTGGCG